CCCCCCCCCCCCCCCCCCCCCCGCCGCCTTGCAAGCTTACAGTGTTCATCCTTCTGTGCACAACTGGCTATAGTAAAAATATAAAGCAGATTTCTAGATCTGCGAGATGGTTCAGTGGATAAAGGCACTTGTAATGAGAATCTGAATTGGAGCCCTAAAACCCATGGTAAAAGGAGAAAACCAAGTCTTGAAAGTTGCCCTCTGATCACTGTATTGCCTTAAGGCATGTTTCTACCATACACACACTTACAGTCACTCACAAAATCAAATTTTAAAAAATGTTTATACCAGGAATTAAACACAGGTCCAGCATATGCTAGGTAAGCACTCTTCTACTAAGCTACCTGCCCACAGTGAAATTTATTAAAGAATGAACCTTGCTGGGCGGTGGTGGCACATGCCTTTAATCCCAGCACTCGGGAGGCAGAGGCAGGCCTGGTCTAGAAGAGCTAGTTCCAGGACAGGAACCAAAAGCTACGGAGAAACCCTGTCTCGAAAAAATAAATAAATAAATATAAATAAATAAAGAATGAACCTTTATTCTCCTAATACACTGGAACATGTCATGTTTTGTTAGTGTTTGTTTTGGGGGTACATATTGATCCACTGGAATGTAGCTCAGTTGGTAGAGGACTTACCTACCATGCACTAAGGCCCTTGGTTCCATTTCCAGCATTTAAAAAAGAAGTTACTGAAATATTAAGTTAGTGAGTTATAAATGATTTAAGCACTTCAATGTACCTTTAATTCTATTAAGGTATCAGATTATCATTTTGGAGTGATACTACAAAATTCTTATTCTCCTTTTATGTACACAAAAGAAATGGATATTTTTCGTTTTAGAAAGGACATTTTGTTAATATATCATCAGAGATCTATTGTTTCAGTTATTCTTCATTTTCTCTTTTAAGACAAGATCTTGATTTGTTGCCCAGTTTGGTCTTCAACTCCTGGCCTCCAAGTGTTCCTTCCTCTGCTTCTCAAGTAGCTGAGATCATGAGTGCTTGCTACTGTGTCTGGCTCCCTCAGTGATGGGCACTGAGCCTAGGTTTATACATGCCAGACAAGTGTTCTGCCATTGGGCTGAATCCTAATCATCTCCTCAGCTCTTAAAAATAGTTCCATTGTTACTGCTACCTTTGTGTTTTATTATTTTTTTAGTCAGAAAACAGGATAGGTAAATTTGAGGGGTTTTTTTGTTTTGTTTTGTTTTGTTTTAATTTCAAGACAGGGCTTCTCTGTGTAGCTTTGGAGCCTCTCCTGGAGCTAGCTCTTATAGACCAGGCTGCAAACTCACAGAGATCTACCTGCTTCTGCCTTCTAAGAGCTGAGATTAAAGGCATGTGCCACCAGCTAGCAAATGTGTCTTAATGCTCTAATGGCTTCCTCCCAAAAAGGCATGGAGAATTAGTGTTGCTTTCCTGAAACTGCATATTGACAGGTGTTTCTGCTGGTTCCTAAGTGTTCAAAGTTTTTGTTTTACATAACCCTGGCTGGCCTGGAACTCACTATGTAGATCAGGGTAACCTCAAACTCACAAAACTTCCTTCTTGCCTTTTAATTAATTTGTTAATTTGTTATCATTCTAACAATTTTTTTTATTTTTGCAATTAAAAATAATTTTTAATAAAACCTTAAATTTTTTCTTAAGTCATTAATAACTCATCCTGATTTGAGTATGCCATATCCTGAAGATGTTTCCCTACAAATAAATTGTGAGTTCTCACCAATCCATTGAAATGAGTCTCCTGAGGCTAACCTGTTTTGAGTCATTTTATGTTTTATGTACTTACATGTAGCTTTTATTTTTCTATTTATATTTCTTTCTTTAGTAATTATTTAGCCTTTTAGTCCATCTGAATTAAAAAAAATATTGCTGACTATTCCCATGCAAGCTGAGTTGTTACTTCCTTCAAAGAGTTTTCTAAATAGTGGAAAGAATTAAGGTAGTCTACTTTAATTCCTAATATGTAACTACTCCTGAATGACCTTTGTTTTAATCTTTTATCTTAGAGCAAAGAAAAAGGTGATTCCTGCGTCAAAACCCAAAGTCAAGGTAAGAATCCAGCAAGCCTGTAGTTGGTCCTTAATGGTGAGTGTTGGGATAAATTCTTAGAGGAAAGGACACATGATATTTAGCAAAGATTAATAGGTGCTATGCTACATTGCTTGTTTTCGACTTCATAAAAGTCCATTTGAGGAGTAGATTGTTGTGGAGCTGTGGAGATTTGCATTCATTATTTCTGCATAGGAATATTGGATAAAGAATCTAGAAGAAAACATACTGAGTAAGGTAACCCAGACTCAGAAAGACAAATATCATATGTACTCACTCATCAATGGCTTTTAGACTTAAAGCAAAGAAAAACCAGCCTACAGTCCACAACCTAGAGAACCTAGACAACAAAGATGACCCTAGGAGAGACACACATGGGTCTACATAGGAAGGAGAAAAAGACAAGATGTCCTGAGTAAATTGGGAGCATGGGGGTCGTGGAAGAGGGGAGGAAGGAAGGGGAACAGAGAAAAATGTATATAGCTCAATAAAAACAATAGAAGAAAGAAATATTAGATAAAATGTAACAAGTGTTCTTTATAACATTTGAATAACTGGGCATAGTTGCATATGACTTTAATCCTAGCAGTTGGGAGGCAGAGGCTGGTGGATCTCTTAAGTTCAAGGCCAGCCTGGTCTGCAGTACAAGTTCCAGCACAGCCAGGGCTATTCAGATAAACCCTGTCCCCACCCCACCCCCCAAAAAAAATAGCTAAAATTATAAATACAAAGAAAGTGGTGGCCTGCTGCTGAGGCCTTCATTGCCCTTGGAGAGACTACCTATCGCCTTATGGTTTCTTTTCACTGTCTTCTCAGAATATGGCAGGTAGGGTTTTCTAGGGTTAGTAGTCAGAGATAGAAAAGAATCCCGTGTGGAGAAGCTTCTAAAAGGACGTATTTAATTAATGACAGGGAGGGGAGCATCTGCATACCAGCAGAGAGAATTGTCTGTCTTGGCCAAAGGTTCTAGATTGGAGAAAGACTGTCCTGCCTGAAAATGTCCCCTTTGTTCGGAGTTTAAATTGCATTACTTGCACAAGGTGGCAGAGTAATTTACTGATTTAGCAGTGACCCAGGGCAGCAGGTAAAAGCAGATTTTGTGCCGTATAATGGTCCACATCTTACCTACTTACAGCACAAGTCAGGCATAAAAGCTCTAGGTGGATTTCAGGCAGAGCATATATTCAGCATGTCAGAGGCCCTGGGCATAAACAAGCACCACAAAAAAAAAAAAAAAAAAAAAAAAAAAAAAAAAAAAAAAAAAAAAAAAAAAAAAAAAAGCCCCAAACAACAATAAACAAACAAAACCAAAAAAAATCAAGAGCTTACTGTCTGAAATATAGAATATGTAAGGGGATTTATTAGTACAGGTTAGAGTCAGTGGGCATCCACCACAAATAAGTGGTAGGTTTGTTAGTTTAGAACATAAAGTACCTGGACGTGTGTGTTGGTACTTACCTGTAATTCCAGCATTCTGGAAGCAGAGGCAGAAGAATTGCAGCAAGTTTGAGGCCAGTCTCAAACATAACTTCAGGGCACTCAGGGAATCATAGACCCTGTCTCACCCTGTTCCTAGCCCCAAAACAAGGAATATAGGATAATCTTAACAGTGTTTAGGAGAAGCTGTATTGTGAGCCTTCCTCCATTCCTTCACTGCCAAAATTAATATTTGAAGTGGAAAATGTAATAAAAATATCCTAAAAAGCAGGCATAATTGGTTTATGAATATAGGTCATTTGATAAGTACTTGCCTAGCATGCGTGAAGCCGTCACATCACATAAAACAGTCATGGTAGTGCATGACTATAATCCCAGTACTCAAGAGGTAGAGAGAGCAGTAGAATCAGAAGTTCAAGCAAAGATTGAATGATCAGCATGATCCTTGGCTTGATAGGGAGTTGGAGGTTAACCTGGGATATATGAGACTCTGCCTTCCCCAAAAATAATTGAAATAGAAACTTTGTATTGGTAATACCTTTGCTATTACCGCCCCACTTCAGTCCTGTACTGTATCTAATGGTGGAGTAAATAGTATACTTGGATTGTCCACATGTGCAAGCATATGTGTCATGTGCTACCCTCTCATTTTAGCCAGCAGTGGGACCCTAATGGGATTATACCAGTGCTTCTATCAGTAGTGAGGTTTGCAAAATGGAGTTCTTAGGATGGAGATTTAGAACAAGTGCTATGGAAGTTAGAGTGTAAAGCATTCTTAACAGCTTACTTACTGTAACACCCTAGGAGGTGATGGTAAAGACCCTTCCTGTTCGTTCTTTCCCCACTATGCTGAAGGTAAGTGATGTGGCTGTACACATCAATATATGAGATTCTGGGTTTGGGACTTTTTCTTTCCAAGGAATTAGTAGAGCCCCTAAAATGATGTATTGATCTGTGTAGTAGTTTTGTCTTTATCTTAAACATAAAGTTAGTCTAGTACTTTATATTACTCCCAACAAATAAACAGTTGCTCTTTGACTTACTAATGTTTTTTTTACTCTGAATACTTAAAACTATAATTCTCTTAACTCTTCCTCGAATTTTAAGAAAATTTATTCATTTATTTACTTATTTGCTTATTTATTTATTTTGGTTTTTCAAGACAGGGTTTCTCTGTGTAATGGCCCTGGCTATTCTGGAACTCACTTTGTAGATCAGGCAGACCTCAAACTGACAGAGATCCGAGTGCTGGGATTAAAGGTGTGCACCACCACCGCCTGGCAAGACAGTTAATTTAACAGATTATACAAGACAATCTGTTAACAAGACGTTATTCACCTAGATGTTTAGCACTTTAATTACTAATATCTTTATTTCCTTAGAACAGAGCCTTAACTCATAGGAGACACTAAACACATATTTGATAAATTACAAGTAATGTTCATCATAATGAGTAGCAATATGATTTAAATATAGTTGGATAATTCAGTAGTTTCCCTATGTCCTGGTGGTCGGTAGCTATAGAAATGCAAGGAAACAGGAATGAGAGCCCGCACCAGCAAACCTTACTAGACAAGAGTTCAAGTCTTGATATGAAGGCAAAGTCCCTGCTGAGCACCAGAAAAGTAAAAGCTCTGGGAAGCTGGGATTGAAATGAGTTCTGAATTTGATGGAGGTAGAGTTAACGAGTGATGTCTCCCTCAGTCACTGCCCTTCAGCCCCAGTTTCAGGATCTGGTAAGATGACTTGCAAGGACATAATGGCATAGTGTGTCACACACTGTGTTATGAGGAGAGCTGGTTAGAGTACCGTCTTCTCAATTTTGTTTTCAGTAGTCTTCTCTAGATTTCTAGCTAAAAAAAAAAAAAAGAGAGAGAGAGAGAGGCCCAGTACAGTAACACAGGTCTTTAATACCAGCACTCAAGAGGCAGAGGCACATGGATCTTTGTATGTTTAAGTCCAGCCTGATCTATTTAGGGAGTTTCAGGACAGACAGGGCTATAAACAAACTTGTGTCAAAAAAAAAAAAAAAAAACAGCCAAAAAGTAATTTTAGTTATCATAGGAATTTCTTAATCTTGTAAAAACTAAGTTTAAAATTTATAATTAACTCTCTGTATTTTTTCCAATATAATGATACTTGTGCTAGGAATGTAGCCCGAAAAAAGACCCAAAGGCTCCTGCATCTTTGGTGGCTTCAGTTGGAGGTCCTTCCACGAGCTCCAGCACATCCATCATTGCCTCAGCTAGCTCTAGCTCAGCACCAGTCCAAGAAACCATCTGCCTCGATGACTCCCTGGATGAAGACCTTTCTTTCCACTCATCTTCACTGGATCTTGTATCTGAAGCTTTAGCTGCCATCAACAATGGGAACAAGGGCCCCTCAGTTGGCTCAAGGCTAAATGTGCCAACTACAAAGCCTCGTCCAGGACTGAGAGAAGAAAAACTAGCAAGTATCATGAGTAAGTTACCACTGGCTACTCCCAAAAAACTAGATTCTACTCAGACTGCACACTCATCAAGTCTTATTGCTGGTCACACGGGGCCAGTACCAAAGAAACCCCAGGATTTAGCTCATACGGGCATTTCTTCAGGCCTTATTGCTGGTTCTTCAATTCAGAACCCTAAAGTTTCCTTAGAACCTTTGCCAGCCAGGCTACTCCAGCAAGGACTGCAAAGGTCAAGCCAGATACATGCTTCTTCCTCTTCTCAGACTCATGTCTCCTCCTCCCAAGCCCAAGTTGCTGCCTCCTCTCATGCTCTGGGAACATCAGAGGCCCAAGATGTTTCTCCGTTAACACAAGCAACAAAGGTGCACCAGCACTCAGCTGTCCAGCAGAACTATGTGTCTCCATTACAAGCCACCATTAGTAAATCACAGACCAACCCAGTGGTGAAATTAAGTAATAACCCCCAGCTTTCCTGTTCGTCCCAACTACTCAAGACTTCAGATAAGCCACTGATGTATCATCGCCTCCCTTTGTCTACCCCATCACCTGGAAATGGGTCTCAGGGGCCCCACCCCCTGGTTTCTAGGACAGCACCGAGCACCACTACCTCCAGTAATTATTTAGCCAAGGCTATGGTGTCACAAATCTCCACCCAGGGTTTCAAATCTCCCTTCTCAATGGCTGCATCTCCCAAACTTGCTGCATCTCCCAAACCTGCCACATCCCCCAAACCTTTGTCCTCACCTAAACCTTCTGCCTCACCCAAGCCCTCTCTGTCAGCTAAGCCTTCAGTATCAACTAAACTTATTTCTAAATCCAACCCAGCTCCCAAGCCTGCTGTATGCCCGACTTCTTCCAGTCCAAACACACTAGTAGCCCAGAGTAGCCATCCCTCAAGTAACAACCCCGTCCATAAACAGCCCAGTGGAATGAACATCAGCAGACAGTCTCCCACTCTGAATTTGTTGCCCTCAAATCGCACTTCTGGCCTTCCATCTACAAAAACTCTTCAGACCCCTTCTAAATTAACAAATTCATCATCCACTGGAACTGTTGGGAAGAACAGCTTGAGCGGAATTCCAATGAATGTACCTGCCAGCAGAGGTAGCAACCTTAACTCAAGTGGAGCGAATAGGACTAGTCTATCTGGGGGAACAGGAAGTGGAACACAGGGTGCTACTAAACCGTTGTCTACTCCACATAGACCAACCTCTGCCTCAGGGTCTTCAGTGGTAACAGCCAGTGTGCAGGTATGTATGTGATGTGATAAATGTAAGATTGAGCAAGCTTCTTAAGTCACCTTAATGACTTCCCATGTGACATATACAATGTATAGAATGTGCTTATGCTAGGCTGATAACAGCTATGCCCATGGATTGTTCTCAGTGTTGACATCATAGTGCTGGGTGAGGTTTTTGTTGGGATGTGTGTTTTTTATTTTTTTCAACCAAGTATCATTAATCTTTGTATATGGTGCCATATACCTGTAATCCTAGCACACAGAAGGGTGAAGCAGGAAGAACTCAAGTTGAAGGCCAGCCTGGGCTATATACAGGGAATTCTAAGCTAACCTGGGCTGCACAACAAAGTCTTGCTAAAAATAAAAACTTTAGAAGGTAGGATGGGAACTTGGGGTTGTTAGCCCAGTGTCTTTATAACACGTGTGAAACCCCAGGTTCAGTCCCCAATATCAGGAAAAGACTCAGATTTACCTTAACGTTTGTTTTGGAAAACAGAACTTGAATTTATATTTAAAACTTTTTCTCTTAGCCAGACATGCTGGCACACTCCTACAATTCCAACTCTTTTTTTTTTGGTTTTTCGAGACAGGGTTTCACTGTGGCTTTTGAGCCTGTCCTGGAACTAGCTCTGTAGACCAGGCTGGTCTCGAACTCACAGAGATCCGCCTGCCTCTGCCTCCCAGGCGTGCGCCCCCATCGCCCGGCCCAATTCCAACTCTTGAGAGGTAGAGGCCTAATGACCAGAAGTTCAAAGTTATCCTTGGTTACGCAGTCAAGTTTGAGGCCAGTATAGGCTGTATGATACCCTGTTGAGGGTAAAAAATCTTCGCAATCTCTTTTACTAAAAGCAAGAACAAAAAGTATTAGTGCAGAAATTTAACATATTCAGTTGTCTCCCTCTTCTTCTGTCTTTATAAATGTGTATGGGGGCATTATGTGCATGTTGGGTGTAATGCTTAAGAAGGCCAGAGAGGGCGACTGATCCCTGGAGCTGGAGTTAACAGGCAGGTGTCAGCCCTGACTTGAGTGCTAGGAAGCAACCTCTGGTCCTCTGAAAGAACAAGTGCTCTTAACCATTGATCCAGCTTTTTTTTTTTGTTTATTTAATCAAATTTATACATTTGTCTTTTCTTTAAAATTTTATCCTCTCCAAATTTTTATTTTACATTAACTTTTTATTTATACATGTATAATTCTGTCCACTTAATGTTGGAATACCTGCATACCATAGTTTCCCAATGGTTTGTCAAGTTTTAGTGTAAGCGTGCCTCTCTCTGTTAGCCAAGGTCTTTGCTAGAAGAGGCATAGATGGTATTTACTTCACCATTGCTCTCTTAGACTTAATCTCTCCTTTCTGTGTTGTAACACATGAGGGGAGACTTCCACTTCAAATTCATTGCTTAGTGTTTAGGATTATTTTATTCTCCATGTAAGTAATGTCTTTTGTCTGCTGAACTAGCTAGAAAATTTACCTTTAAACCCCAGTATTCTTAGACTATAGCTATGTTTATCTAGTTTTCATTAATTTTCGTACTTAGAACATAATGAGCCTCAGACCTGGCTATTTTTTCAGCTCAAGAATATCTTATTCTTGGCCAGCGAGATGGTTGAATGGGTAACAGTGCCTGCTGCCAGGCCTAATGATTTGAGTTTGATCCCTGGAAACTCGGGCAGTAGAAGGAGAACAGATTCCGGAAGGTCATCCTCTGACCTATGCACACATACATGGTAACATAGTTCTCCCAACTCAAGAAGAAATGTCATTTTAAGAAGTTTTTTTTTTTTTTTTTTAAGAAAAAAAAAAAGCAAAGACTGCATTATTCTATGTTTGGTAATTGTTTCTGACCCAATGCTTTGCTTAGACAATGGACATTTGTATATAGGTCAGACTGGCCCAGACCTGCTGTACCCCTACCTGTCCCTGAAACTGAGATTCCTGGCATGTGCTGCCACACCCCACTTAGGTTATTCTGAGAACTTTGTTCTTTTTAAAGAGAGGATCTCATTCTGCTGCCCAGGCTATTGCAGCATAAGCTGCTGGGTGACAGCCTTGGACTAGCACATCTAATTTGTTGTTCATCTATTTCTTGGCTCCAACTTGTATGCCATCTTGTATTGTGTTCATTTCTCTACCTTCACTATATTTTGAGGCTTTCAAAGATTTAATTCTTCACATTAATGATGTGTGATTTTTTTTCCCCTTCTGGGAGTAATACATTGTCACTGTGAGCAAATTTAGAGACAAAATAAAAACCACCTGGGCCCACCACGTTTCATATGTAGGGTATTTTAAGGCTGTTCTTAAAAAAAACTGTCTTATACAATGTCACATTATAAATATATTTTATGATATACAAGTGCTTAGGTCCTAAGTCTTTAAGAACATGACTCTGGTTTGGGAAATGAGTTGTCTACAGCAATGCTGTAACTTCATGCTGCTCCAGTTTTTGTGCATTAGGAATTTAATGACAAGCTTTCCCCTTACTATTTGTAGGGGCTTCTTGCAGTTTAGTATAGTGTAAGACTTGGTGTTGAATACACTTAATAATACCAAGTTATCATTCTTCTACTCACATGGGTTCAAGATTGCATACTAATGTAGAACAAGTTCAGTTTACTAAACATATGGATGTTTAGTCTCTTAAACATCTTTTCGTAATAAGGAAATAAAGCTGAGTGAGTGTTCGTCATCTGCATCCTAGCCCAGGAGTCAGGACGATCACTTGAGCCCGTAAGTTTAAGACCAACCTAGGCAAGCTAGTGATACCGTATCTCAAAGAGAGCGGGAAAGACAAAGGGGGAGAGGTGAACAGCGAAGCTCAAATGCTGATAGTGGGGGTTGTTGGTTACACTTGTTCCTTATAGATAATTTGTGAATTAGTCTTTACTAATGTTCAGACTTGCTAAAACGGCGATCCTTTCTAAAATTAACCTTTAATTTGGTCAAAGGAAAAAAAGAAATGGAATTCTAAAAAAAAGTGATAGTTCTTGGCCTCATACCTCCCTATTATCCATACTTTTGTTCTTTCTGAGACAAGACTTTTGACAAGGCCACTACTAGGGTTATAAACATGCACCACCATATAATAACAACCAGGTATGGTGTGGCTTACCTTCAATACCAGGCAGAAACAGGTGGATCTCTGTGAGTTTGAGTCTAACTTTATCTTCATAGTGAGTTCCCAACCAGTCAGGACTACATAGGGAGACCCTGTCTCAAAAAAGAATGAAGAAATGAATGACAAACTCTTAATTTCATGAATGTTACCATTATGTTACCTTGTCATTTTCATTATGAAAATAAGAATTACAGTTCTTCTTAGCTGTACCATTTTGCTGAAATAGTAATCAGATTTTGGTTAAATCTTCCATGACATAAGTATTAGTTTCATTATCAGAGTTATGACTTCATTTACTTTCTTATAAAATGGTAAGGGAGTTTTCTATACTTAAAAATTGGCTTTGTGTCGGTTTTTTATGTCATTGCCTTCAAGGGTCTGGTTAAATTGTCCTTCACCTTTTTTCATCTCTAAAATCTACCTGACCATCTTGTATTTGATTATCATTTATCCTAAAAGAAGCTATTCACTGTCTTAAGAATAGTTGATCTGTCAGCAAGAAAGCTGCATGACAAAAATGCATGTTTCTGACAAGTTCCTTCCTGGTACTCTTCCACTCTTGGGTCACTGTATGACTTGGAAACCCCAAGATTCCTGCTTTCTTTGGTCTGTTTTTCTGTCTTACTGGTTTGACTAAAGAAAAAGTCAACAGTTGATTAATGTCACGTCGCCTCTGCCACTGGTAGTTGTTTTCATATGACATAGCAGCTCTGAAGCCTTCTCAGCTGTTTGTGGCCTCCGGGTATTATTAAACACAGGTGCTTAAAGCGATGTTCCTTCATGAGGGGAGTACATTTGGTGTCCGGTCTTGTGAAGCCTGCATTTCCTGTCTACAAGGCATCTGCAGTGCTAGCCACAGCACAGTGGAAAAGATGGGTCACACACACAAAGGCTGAGAGTGAAAATATCCTAAATCCAAGCTCTGTCTACTTTCCTTACAGAACGGTCTTCCTCTTTATTGCGCTTCAACTTACTTTGTATTTGTTACTTTATGACTCTAAAAGCCATCATTCAGTGAGCAAATTGAGTGCCATGTGCCAGGCTCTGTTCTATGTGCTGGGGAACCAGGGTGAATAACATACTACATCTGCTCTTGTGGAGCATATATTCTAGATAAGCTAAATATCAGTTTTATTTTAAAAAGAAAGAAGCATGTGCTATGAAAAAATGTTAAAAATTGATTGTTGCTAACATAAGGGACTACAGAAGACCTATTAAAGGAAATACTATTTTATTTGAGCTGAGAGTTGAAATAACAGGGCATAGCCATGCATAAAGAAGACAGGAAATTGGTATGAGCTAGAGGAAACTGCAATATAAAAATGCTGAGATGAATATAAAAAAAACCTGAGATGAAAGCCCGTGTGTGTGTGACCTAACTATGGGGATAAACCTACACTAGGTCAAGGGGGCCTGATCAGGGACAGTAAGGATTTGAGGTTTATTTTGTGAAGAAGGGAACCTGTTGGAAGGTTTTAACCAGAAGAACCGCCTGGCTACATATCAGAATATTATTCTAGGTGAATAGGAAACAGCTGTCTCACCAAACAGAATGAGTAGCTTTATAGGATCAGGTGCCTACCTGAGGAAAGCAGTTTCCATTCATAAAAAACATGTCTGATTATGGACACTATATAGTCTGCTTATCTAGCCAATGTTGACAGCCTTTCTATGCTCCCAAATATTATAAAAGTGGAATTTTCTACTTCTGAAAGTGCCTAAACGCCTAAATGTCAGTGTAACATTGAGGTCACCTGGTAATTCTAACTTAGTCATAAACAAAATTAGGTTTGAAAAATTCTTAACAAGTATAAAATATTAGTTATAAAATATTTTTTAATTGCTGGCATTCAAATTATTTTTAAAATTTGGAATTTTTCCTAATTTATGTTCTCTATCTGTTGTAATGCTTCAGTTAGACTCTTGGAGAAAGGCTTTAAAAGGTTCAATCATTTGCGTTATTTACTGTTTTTCACTGAGAGAAAATTTGGGGCACAACCTTGGAGATTATCTTGACAACAATAGACTTATGTCTAAAATGAAGGAACCATTCTTGCTTACTTTTTAAACTTTTTTATTATGTATTCAGTGTTCTGCCTGCATGTATGCCTGTAGTCCAGAAGAGAGCACCAGATGGTTCCTGGGAATTGAACTCAGGACCTCTGGAAGAGCAGTCAGTGCTCTTAACCATCTCTCCAGCTCTTGCTTACCTTTTTTTTTTTTTAAGATTTATTTATTTATTTAATGTACATGAGTGCTCTGTCGACTTTATGCCAGAAGAGGGCATCAGATCACACTAGAGATGGTTGTGAGCCACCACCATACCATGTGGTTGTAGAAATTGAATCCAGGACCTCTGGAAGAACAGCCAGTGCCCCTAGCCACTGAGCCATATCTCAAACCCGCATTCTTGCTTACTTTTAAACTGATACGGGATCCTTTTTATCCTGGTCACTTTAAGACAGTATTGTTTGTAACTGGATATTTTTTCTTAAATGTACCCACTGTGTATCTTAAGAGGTATAGTAGAGAGAAGGGCTGGCCACTCTTCAGGGTGTCTGTAACAAAGTGTTGAGGATTACTGCTTGGGTGGAAAGAGAAGGTTGGGTGAAGAAGAAACTCTCATTAGTTTATGAGGCCTGCAGACTAAGGTTGATGTCCCAAACTCCTGGAAAAAGAAGTGCTTGCTGATAGCAAGACAGTGGAGGGTGGGGACCAGATGAGTCCAGTTTGGACATGTCAGGCTAGCTGAGTGTTAGAAACCCATGTGGTGATACTCACTAAACTCTGGCTCACAGGATTAAAGTTGAGGTGACAGGTCAGAACTGAGCTTATAATAACAGAGGAGATGCGCAGAGTGGAGAAATGAAGTTGTGGAACTTAAATAAGATGACTTCTTGAGAGTGACCTCACTTTTTGTTCAGCAGTGGTGTTAACCCTGGGGTGCCACATATGTATGGGAAAGTTCCATATATTTTCTTACATGTTACGAAATAAAACCTTTAACCTTTCCCATGTGTGGTGGTATCTGAGACATGCCTGTAATCATCGTAGTTAAGAGGCTGAGGCTGGGATACTCGGATTTCAAGGTTTGTTTGTTTGTTTGTTTGTTTTATGTTACGTAATGAGTTCCAAGCCAGCCTGAGATACATAATGAGATGCTGTTTGAAAAATAAATAAAACATCAACCTTTAATTAATGATGTTTTTGGTAGAAATAGCACACAAACCAACAATATCTAATATGTATCATTAACTTAAGAAAAAAGCTTTTTGGGGCTAGAGAGATAGCCCAGAGGTTAAGAGTACTGGCTACTCTTCCAAAGATCCTAACTTAATTCCCAGCAACCACATGGCAGCTCACAACCATCTATAATGAAATCTGATTCCCACTTCTGGTGTACAGGCAGAACACTGGGTATAATAAATACAATAAGTATAATAAATAAATAAATCTTTAAAAAAGAAAGAAGGAAAGAAAAGAATGACAAGGCTTTTTGGAAATTCTACCTGGCCTGAAACTTGCTGTGTAGACCAGGCTGGCCTTGAACTCAAAGAGAGCCGCCTGCCTCTGCCTCCCAAGTGCTGGAATTAAAGGCGTGTGACACCTCCACTGACCATCTCTCTAGTTTCTAAATTAAAAAAAAAAAGGAAATAAAATTCTGTTTTATTGACCACAGCTGAGGAAGCATTGTAGTCTACAAAAGAAAACTACAGTAGCAGGACTGTAGTATGTAATGTTTGCGTCTGAGAAAGTTGGATGTGTTTAATAATGTTGATGATAAGTGCCCATCATGAAGAAATATCAAAAGTGGAAAAAATCTTGTCGCATAGAAAGCCATTGGAAATACTGAATTAGCTCAAATATATTTATTTGAGTGTACTTAACTAGTTTCCCATAGAAGCACATCGACATTAGCAGATTTCTGATTCATCACTCAGGACCTCAAAACTCACATAAAGAATTGAGAAAATGCTTTATACTTTGAAAGTCTGATTTCAGAAAAGTGATGTAATGAAAACCAGTTTTAGTGGTTCTGGAGAGATAGTGTGGAAAATGAAGGTTGTCATTCAGTATTGACTTTTGAAAAGGATTACAAATAAGGTTAGATTATGACTGGGAGGTGGGAAAGATGCAGAAATAACAGTGGAGTTGTAGAAAGAGAGAAAGAATGTTGTGGGAGGCTTCAGTTGGCGCCCTTTGTGGTATAGATTGAGAAGTGTGCAGCTCTGGGGAAGCACAGGTGAGACCAAGGATGAGGAGTGCTCAGGGGGCCTCATCTGTGTCAGGTGCCGTGATGAAAGCACAGTAGATAGGAGCAGCAGCTGTAGACCTTGGGCCAGGAAAGAGTCTGCGGAGTCCCAGGACATTGACTCAAATTACTCCCTGTGATTCATATCTGTAGGGTTTTTTTTTTTTGACTCTTTTCAGTTTATTGCATGAAGGAGTTACACTAGTCCAAGTTAAAAGCGGACCCCAAATGGTTACATTATACAAGCTGTGAGGTTTTTAAACTTGTGACTAGGGACAGAAGGGAAATTCTACTCATTGCAAGGAAATCCTCACTTAAGCTTCAGAGTCACAAGCACTTAAAACCCATGAACCTTCAGCTGATCATCCTTAGCCAGTCCAATCTCTATTAGGAACTGGCATATGTTCTTGCGCTGGTCACCCTGTAGCTGAATTACTTCTCCATATTCTGGATGCTCAATTACAGTACCATTGCAGGCAAATTTCTTCTTAAACGCCTTCACTAGTTTCTTTTTATCGTAATCATCAGCGATCTCTTGGACAGTGGTAAGGGTCTTCCTGCCGTTTCTCTGTTGAATTCTTATATGGATATATTCCTCAGTGCCAGCAGGAAGCAGGTCATCACCCTTACTTGCATCAGCAAAGGGGTCGAAAGAGTGGAGGTTCTGAATAGCAGACATACGTTCCTTGGTGGAAACGGCCTGCAGAAGGCGGCTGCGGGAGAAGACAGGCGGGGGGACGGAGCGTCGGGAAGCGAGGGGGCTTGAGGGGGAGGCACCTGAGTCCTCGGCGGCGGCTCAGTGACTGGGGTATCTGTAGTTTTGGAAGGAGAAGTAGAGAAAGGGAGATTGAGGCTTACAAGCAAGAATAGGCATTGAACAGCTAAGAAGCAAACTACAATGCTAATACAAGAACTATACATAAAAAAGTTTTCAAATGTCGTTTGCAGATTTTCAGAAGCATTATTAGTAACTCTGAATTATATTTTTCACTTCAGTCTTAATTTTTCTCTCATTTGTTAGAACAGATAAAGACACAGTCTTACATCCATGAAGATGTTAAATCAACTTAGGTGCAATGCTTTATTTCTTATCTATTTTGACCCCTGGTTTCTACACAGTCCACAACAGGAGCATCATTATTGGCTAATGCCTCACCTCTGACTCTCATGACATCACCTTTGTCTGTAACAAATCAAACTGTGACTCCTTTTGGGATGCTGGGTGGCCTTGTTCCAGTGACCATGCCCTTCCAGTTTCCCTTGGAGCTACTTGGCTTTGGAACGGACACAGCTGGAGTGACAACCACCTCGGGATCTACCTCAGCCGCTTTCCATCACAGCCTAACTCAGAGTAAGTGGGGCTCTGTTTCAAATGAACTAATGGACCGTCCACCCGCATTTCTGTTATGAAGTATGTAGAAGAAAGTCAACATGGGGGATTTCTTAGCATACTCATGGCTGTATTTACATAAGTCAACTCTTTACATGTATGTGCTGTAGTGTTAGAAAACTCTGGAGCTGGGGCTTAGGCCGGCATTAGAGAAGACAGAGTCTTACTGAGTTTGAGTTAAGGGGGCCCACATGGTAAAGATAACTGACAAGTCTGTTTCCCTCTCAGATTTACTAAAGAGTTTACAGCCGGGAACTCAGCATGCAGCAACACTTTCCCAGTCACCTCTGCCTACACACTTACAGCAAGCATTTAATGGTAAGCAAGCTGCTTGTTCCTATTGTGTATAACTGAGTATAGATGCTGATTAAAGTTTCTTCAAACAGTGTGAATGAAATGACAAAACATTGGGGGTTTTCATTTACCTGGATCCTCAGTGGCAACAGACATTTTTTTCTTAAGAAAAAAGGATAAATGAGATCTATTAGACACATGGGGAAAGAATTTTATTATACAGACATGTTGCCTAATCAAGAATTCATAAAATAATTATCCAAAGTCCTAGATGTTGACAAGAAGGTTCAGCAGGTTAAAGTCCTTGAGTTTTGTCCCCAGAACCCACAAAAAAAGGTAAAGGGACCAATTCCACAAAAGTATCCTCTTCACATGAACACTGTGGTATGTGTGCCCACACATACATGCACACACACAAGGTGTTTTGAAGTCATACTCAAGTCTTAGCAGTTAAAGTCATTTAATGCTCTTACAGAAGACCCAAGTTCAGTTCCCAGCATCTACGTGGCATCTCATAGCCATCTGTGACTTTAAGGGATATTATGCCCTCTTTTGGCCTTCATGGACACCAGGTACATACATACAGGCAAAACACCCATACAAGTGAAAGCAAAACTAAAACTGTCTTTACACTGGTTTACTCTTGGGCATAGGGCAGAAATTGGAGCTGTGCATCAGTCTGGAGGCAATAGGCTATCATCAATTTCATGGTCATTCCTGTGATCAGCTGCCCAAGACTCATCCTTGAGAGAAGGAACATAAACCCCATCTGACCTTCCTGCTCTTGATTGGGCTTGATTATATTCCTGTTCTGGGATCCAGTTGGGGACGGGAGCTCTTGATGATTGTCATGAATGTGACCGCCTACAAGGAAGTAGACAACCAGAATTCTTGATGATTCCATCTCTATGGGAGCTATCTCTTATTTTGTCAACCCTACTCTCCCAGCACAGGAAAAAGATGAGTATTTTCCAAATAACTGAAGTTTAATGTTTAAAACTCTTCATTTAAAAAATTGGATGTAAGGCCTTAAAACTTTTTGGATTTCCAGTTGTAGAGCTGCCAGTTTGAAAAACTTCACCATCACTTCTCTCACCCCATACTGAAGATAAAAAAAGTGTCTCATAGCTGTCCTATTGGATCTAATAACAGTAACTGATTGAAAGAGTCTCAGCTGGTAAACAGAGGTCAAAAAAGGTTGTCTTTGCTTTTGTTTTCAGAGACAGGGTCTCTCTGTAAATTTGGCTGCCTGGGAACTGCTTTCTAGATCATTCTTGCCTTGAACTCACTATGTGCTGTGTGCCACCAAGCGTGAGTGGCACAAATAATAAATATTTGTGGTCTGCAGTTGTTAAAGTCATTTAGTCTTTTTTTTTTTTAACAACTACTTAAATCATTGTCATGTAAAATAGCCACAAATAATTTATAAACAAGCAAGTAAAGCTGGATTCCAATAAAACTCTATTAACAAAAACAGATGATGGGCCAGATTTCGCCATGGGCCATGCTATACTAAACGCTCGTTTAAAGAATTTCAGTCTAGTTGATAGAATTGTTTTATTTCAGTAATTAACCAAAGTTACTTTATAATAATCACTAACATTGATATAGTTTTTCTTCTAAGGACAGTGTTTTAAATTTTTTTTAAATGTTTTCTAAGATCCTTGGATATGAGTGAATCTGGCCATGTGACTTATGATTCCTACTCATTCCTCTTCCTTTGAAGAGTTTCCTTCCCTTGTTGTTATCTCTCAGGCCTGGCTTGTCATTGAGTCTTTCTTTTCCTTACTAGGGTTCTGCACTTATGGAGACTTTCTATTCTGTTGGCCCTCTGGGTCAATGGGTCCTACTCTTGCCTGGGTAACCCCTTTTTCTCTCCTACCAGTTATTTTAGAACTATTTGGCTGAGGATCACATGGAGTGGGTCCATATTTTCTGTAAACAGTGAAGGACAGTAGCATTAGTAGATATGGAAACTAAGCTGCCCAGCCCCAGCAGCAGTCTCACATCCTGTACCTCAAGGCTAGGACCTACACAGAGACATAGCTGGACTTTCTTTACTACCAATGTGATATGTTCACAATGCTTGGGAATTACCAAATGTCATGTTATTATGGCAAATGACTTCAATTTCACTTACAAGAAAATAAAATTGACCTAGGCTTCCAAAGAAATCAAAAGATGTGGTAGGTCCCTTGAAGGTGGGCATTGTGTGATCTGGTTTCTCTGTAATCCAGCATTGGACATGGTTATGAGGTAAATAAATGGTAAACACCTGCTGGAATAGTTTTTATATAGTTTTCAGTCACTGAGTTTCCACATTGTATGTGTAATCAACTTCTATAATGCCATCATCATGTGAGATAAAGGTTATCTTTTTAGAAATGTAATTCACGATAAACTGATTCTTCTGCTTTTCCTTTTTTTCTTTTTTACAATATGCCAAACCATATCATTTTGTTTATTTTCTCAGATGGAGGCCAAAGCAAAGGGGACACTAAGTTACCACGGAAATCTCAGTGACTTCCCAGCAATCAAGAGAGGAATCATTTGACTGGCTGATGGGACCTACCTGATGGGAAAGTCTTATGTGGTCACAGGGCTGCTGTTTCTGTCGATGTTTACATTCTTGTCCCAAGCACTGTGGTGAGGAGGAAAAGGAAAGAAAATGTTACTTGAGCAAAGCCAGGTGCAGGAGGAAGAAGTGCTTTTGTGGAAAGTTAGTGACCTTTGGTCTCTTAAAGTTCCCATAGTAACTTTAAAAGAGACTCAGCTGTCAAACCCACAGAAGTATCAATTTGATTTTTTTTTTTACCCTGGGGGGAGAAAGAAGGAAGTTGAGAGGATTTGGGTAAATGGCCATCCATCCTGGGGGTTGGATCTGAACACTCTACATATAAGTGCATAATAAAAGCAACTAAAAAGTAGAATTAACCCAGTTTGAGGAGAATCAGTCATGTCTATGTAGTGGACAGATTTGCTACAGTCAGTTGCATGATGCTCTCCAGACAGTAGCCCAAGCGTACTGTATCCTCAAATGTCCTGAGCAAACTTGAATCTTTTCCAGTATGTAGCAGTTCACAGTGTAAGTCAGTAGACTGAAAATGCTTCAGCAAAGTTGCTGTAGCACAGTGATATATATTACTATATCTTCTAGATTTTTAAAGTAAGGAAAGTGAGCCTGTTGCTCTTAACAGACAAAATGTAAACCCTTTTTGTGAAAGGGTCTATTTCATCCTCCTTCCAGAGTAGGTACCGAACTCCTCTGTGCAGCTGACTGTCGTCCGGTCTGGACTGGTTAGTATTTATTTCTACTGCTGATGCGCAGAAGTGAGTGCTCACATTTTCTCTTGATTCGTGGGGTCTTTGCTGTTGGGCTGCTGCTTTGCTGCTCATCTCCTTTGTAGCCTGGCAAGAACTGCAGACGCCCAGTGCCCTCACTGCACAGTGCTCTTTACTAGTGGTGCTTTAGGTGACTAGAGCTGCTGATATAAACAGTGTGCACAGCATCTGTTTCTTTGTGGGCCAGCTAAATAGCATATACATAATAGTACACTGTTTTAAAGGGACGAATCCCAGTAAGAGTACTGATGTGCACAAGGGATCACCTTTTATTCCTATCACAGTGAAACTTTATGCCCTATATCCAGTGCAGTAAAAATGTTTCAAGCATTTGGAATCTTAAAGTTTTACTAGAATTTACTCAGAATGCTGATATTCAAGTAAACCTACAGATAATTAAGATTCTTTAATTCTGGTTTCTGTATGTGAATAGAGACAATGAAGGGTGTAAAGGGGAAAACATACAATTCTATTTGGAAACTTTTATTTTTGCCTCAATTACATTGTGGTGTCCCCTGAATTTTAAACTTCTGAGTATTTTCAAACTAAGAGTAGCTCTAAGTGATGTAACTTTAGTATATATATGATGACAGACTAGCCTGGTAATAACAAGGTTGCTTTTATATTCTCATTACATGTTACCATGTACGATTAAGTTTATACAGATTGAGTGTTTACCAGGCCCAATTTTCCTTTAATAAGCAGAAGTCCCAAGAAGCATCTAGGACTATAATAACCAACCACAGATCTACTCGGAATTTTAATGCCTATAATTTGACTTAAGTCACATTGGCATGCTTCATAGCCAAAAGTCGATGAATAAATAATTTAAAACTTTAGTTCCAAGAACTTGTTACACTAAGGGAAAATGATTGTTCAGAAGAACCATTGAAGCTTGGTGTGCTGCCCAGTGCTTGTAATCCCAATACTCAGGAGGCTGAGGCAGGAGGATCTCAGGTTTGAGGCCAGCCTGGAGTATATGTCAGTGAGTCCCAGGCTAATCTGGGCTAACAATGAGACCCTGTCTCAAAAAAGAAAAGAAAAAGAAAAGAAATCATTGGTATAATTTCTTGACTATAGTAATTTAGTTTATCAGTAAAACAAATACAGATGCTACATGAACCCAGTAGATATTTTGGAAAGATACAGGGACGTTGAAGAGAGCTTTGACTTGAACTTAGCATGCTAAGTTTCATTCGAAAGGTCTCTTAGAGGAACTTGCTCAGCTCTTGGCTTACTATAGTACCGGGTGACTTCTTTTCAGACATGCCTGCTAATACTGCCTGGGCTGCTGTGCTGGGAGTGTGCTTAGGGAGAAGTCAGTGCGTTTAGTCTCTTCCTGCTGATACCTGTGTGTTTGTGTGTTTACATAGACACACCCATTCATATAAATCAAATGCTATTAAAAGTCAATAATGATAATTGTAGTTTCTTAAATCCATCACTTCTGAACCATACTATATGAAGGCTCTGATGGTTCTTTACCATCATTAGAAAACAAGATTAGTAATTCTTTTTCCTGTGTCTTTTTATAAAATTCCCTGAAGCCCTGGGCTCTAAGAAGATGTAAAGTATATTCTGTTCCTGTCAGTCTTGATTCCCTAAGGACTGCTGGGAGATCCCTACTTCAGCAACCCTCTCGTGTTATACAGATAAATCAGAGTCCTTTCTACATGTAAATACATTTCTTTCTATATCATAACATTGAAAATGGTCTCCATACTTTATGGTTACCTGTCTTTACAGTTTTTATTACTAAAAACGAGCATATAAGTTGGTTATTTTTTAACAGAGACTTGCGACTCATACTGTATTTTTGCACTTAAAGTCAAATTATGTTATTTTTAAAATGGTGAATAACTGGAGAGGATATCTGTAGAGCAATGTGTATCGCTAAAGAGCATTAGCAAGATCCAAATGCAGAGGTAAATCAGCACACTTAACCCACTCATGGGGTACTTGATTCAGGAAGATTAAGCTATTTGTTTCCAACTGTCTTATATTTGAAATTGCCTTCACTGATGTATAAGCTGTTACTGTACATACAAGGTGATCCTCAGTATTCACAAGCAATAACAGTCAGCAGAGCTGTCCTCGGACAGCAGTGCTGAACCTCAGTTGGAGACTGTTTGGGAGCAAAGTGTCAAGCTCATTGAGAGCCTCCAAAATAAATGTAAGCAATAATTTCTATTTAAGTTAAATTATAATTCTTCTCATGCTTCTGAGAACAGAGTGGGAAATCATGATTTTAAAACAATCTGGAGAAAAGATTTGGGGGGAAAGAAGCCAAGTTTTAATCCATAGTAAGAAAGTCCTTATACTTTGAAGAAATCAGGAAGATTTAATTAGCACATTCTTTCATGCCCACCACCCCTTTGATGGATGTTATTAGCCCAAATTATATTGTTTTGTGTCATAGATGCTGAATAAGGCTTATTTGGGTCCCAACACTGGGGGAAGAACCGGGCATATACCCGTTTGAAAACTGTGGGTTTGACACCTGCTTGGAAACAGCTTATTGGAACTGATCTTAACCCAGGATATTTTTTCCCAAAGCAGATCTAAATTGTTTACTATGCAGAGATGGAAAGGGCAGGCACTCCTATTCTCTCTCCTCCAGATGCCCTCTCCCACAACCCTTTCCACCTCTACTTGGCTCAAGACTTTCTGAAATGAAAATTCTACTGTTATTGCAACTGCCATTGGTTATAAGAACTCTGTCCTTTGGGATTGTCTCTAGAACTTATCTGTCCTACTTGCTGCTACATTTGGAAATGAATTTGCCTGTGTTGGTTGACTTTAACTTCTCTGTTTGTAGGAGATTTTGTCATGTGCTTTGCTCCCAGTGTAGAACTAGGGTACTTTATTTTAGGAGTGGACTACAAAAGCACACTGGTCCTTGTATTATTATTATCTAGGTTTTGAATTTGTTTCCTTTGTTGGATTTTGTTTTGTTTAATTTTTCAAATTGAAAATAGAAGAATGACAAAAGTCTATACTGCAGGCCAAACTTGAGAACTGTCCTGTGCTTCAGCACGAGTACTTCTGCTGACCTGATGTTCTCTGAAGGGGCACTTTGACTTTTAGTTGTACATGTGTGACTTTTTGTTTTTGCTTTGGGGGTGCTTTTGGTTTTGTAAAAACAAAGCAGAAAAAAAGTACAGTAGTAGATAGATGATCACAAACATGTTATGCAATTTTATTTTATAAAGTTTTAAGGGAAAAGTTTAACTCCTTGTAAATAATTTCTTATCTCTGGTAAAAATGCTTATATACTCTAAACCATGCTCAGTTCAGGCCTTTGTCTTTGTTAAGTGCCTTTTATTTCTTTGTTTTTCTCCCCTCTTTTGAAACTTTTCAGACACCCTCAAATACATACTGATAAAGTCAAGGGATTCAGGAGAAAGAATTCCAGACTTGCCAAGATTATATCATGTTAAGATAATACTCTTCCTTCTGCTTTGTATGTGTGGACACAAGTTCGAGATGCACAGTGTGTGTCTAAAACCAGGAACAGCTGTTCGTGGCAATCTTTCTAAGCACTGCCCTTTCGACATTGCAGAACTTCTGCCCTGTTTGTTCCATTGGTTTGAGTTGATTCAGATGGGCAGATTGGGAAGTAGTCTTTGCACATGATGCTGGCTTCCCCTTCTGAATATCTGTAGAAGTTAATAAATGTGTGTGTGTGTATGATAATATATATATAGCATATATGTGTTGGTTATTGCAAGCATAATAAACTCGGTGGACTCGTTGACTTTTTCTGGATGTAATCCACTTCTCTCTACCCTTCAAATTTGGCAGACGTAGTGTGTAAGAGCATCTTGTGGGCCAATCAGAGATGGTGCCCTATGCAGACAAACACATGGGTGGCTAGAGCTAGAACCATGCAGTGGTATCTGAATACACTTTGAAGGAAGTTAGCACTCATGTCAATATTAAAAGGTGTTTTCTTCTGGAAAATGCTCTTTAAGAAATTATGTAGCTGAATACCTTTTAAAACTTCAGTAAGATTAGAATTTAGATAGTGAAAAAACTAATCTCTTTATTTTCCAGATGATTAGATCTTGATCTGATTTCGTGATTATTTAAATATCTTTCTTGAGCAAAATAACATAACTTCCAGAATCTAAGATTTATTTATTTATTTTAGATGTGACATGTTGGAAAAGACTAAATTGAACCAATTCTCTATAAACAGTACAAATATATCTACAAAGTACCCCATGTAAGTAAAATTTTAATTGGAAAAGGAGACTTGTGGCTAAAAAAAAGAAGCTCCTGTTAGCAGAGCTGTTGTCTGGCAGCTAGGATCAGTAGTGAGTGTTAACTCCTAAACAACTAGGGGGATGTCATTTAACCTTTGTGCCTCAGATTACCCATGAGACAATTGGGTATAATAATAATTGCCTACCTCCCAGGGATATCAGAGACTTTACTATTTCAAAAATATTTTGAGTTTTTCTAGAACATCCTATATAATTAATAGTATTATCTTGCTGCAGAGGTTGAAAAGCAAATGTTTTCCTTAAAATGGATATAAAGAGCACCCTATGGTCTTTATGTTTAAAAAAATCATTGGAATTTTAATTTAGATGCATATTTCATATTTAAACATACCATATTTATAGTGTGGTAGAATTCCTAGTTTCAGGTTAAATCAAAGGGGATGACACCAAGTTTCTTAACTACCAATTGATTGTTTTAAGCTTTTATGATATTATTACCTTGTGTGATATTTAAGATAGTCTGGTTTACAGATAAATGATCCTGGCAGGTTATAGCTCCCTCCTCCACCTTCTGAATTTACTTGTAGTACCTGCTTGGTGGTGGAAACTAACTAAGGTTTTGCGTTTCTAACAGTAAATCAGACCCTACACACTGCTCCTGTTTCTGTAGGTTTATCCAGCTTTGCCGTGGGGGAGGGAGCTATGTGTACTTTTAACTTTGCAGTTCATGCTTCTTCAGCCCATAAGCAAGTCGGAGCCATCAGCTGCTCAGATTGTAGGAAAATGGGAGAAAGAAGACAGGATTTATTTCCTACCAGGAACAGAGGTAGGGATGGTCAGAGTAGAAGGAAACATGATTTCCCTCCCTCCCGGGAGGAGATTAAGATCATTTTATCTCACCTTCTATTAGTGCATACTAAGTAATAATACATAAAACGTTTCTCTTTAAAACAAAGGAATAAATGGATGCTGCAGTTTTTGCTGGGGCTAAATAGTGTGTGAGAGAGAGTGAGTGTGAGGGAGTTTAAATTACAGCAGAGAGACCCAGGTGTTGTGTTGAGGAACAGTTACAGCTCAAGCGAGTTAGGAGAAAGCACTGGGCCTACCTAAGCAGCCAGCACATCTGGGCTGACCCCAGAACTGGCTTGGACCTGGTCAGTCTCTAAGTCCTAGGTGTTTGTTATTGTTTTTCTAAAGTCCCTTTTGGCATTTTTATTGATTTTTTTCTCCTCCAGATAAGGCCTTAGTTCATAACCTTTAAGTATCAACTATGCAGATAAACATACTCTTTATTTTCTGCATTTCCTTCTTGTTCCTTCAATGAAAAATGTTAAGATTTCAACCCAAAGTAATAAGGTTTAGGGGGTTTGTCAAATGTGTGTATGTTTCCTCTGGGGAAGAATAACAGCAGTCTAAAATAGATGCATTGTCTGTGTTCATCTGTCCTAAAATGTGAACTTTACATAAAAAGCTAGCTGAAGACCCTTTTACCTGTGCAGACCTGGAGTTAGTGTCGTGGAGCATGTTTGTGCTTTTATGAAGTCACCCAGTGTGTTGCTGAGAAGTTTAGTGTTTGGTTGACAGAGCTGAAAATGATGTTGATTGAAAAGAGCTTCAGATATTAATGTTGAGTTCTGTGTTTCTTTTGGTCTTTATTCTTGCCTTTGGTGTTGAGCTCTTAAGTTAGCCACTTGTTCCACTATAGTATAAGTTGCTTGTGGTTAGATCTAGGGGGAAAGGCAGATTGTTTCCACATCCTCTTGCCCGCCACTTTTCTGTCTTGCTCTTCATGCTCCAACACAAAGATAGTATAAGTGGATAGTTTGCATCTTAGCAGAGGGCACAAGCATAGGTTATCTTGAGTTTAGTGGAAATGCCTTCAACAACCTGATGCTAAATGACACTTTTCTCATGCACACTCTTAAGTACCATTTGCTTTAAGGTGTTTATTTGTGATCTCCTTGTGTTGTGATGATTCTGCTTCTCTGTGTTTCCTATGTATTTCCATTTCATAGCAGTTGGTATGCAGACTTTGTGTACTTTACCACTGCTATCCAAACTGGTCAGGAACACATTTTGAAGTCTCAGTAGTACAATTAAGGTTCTGTATATAGTCCAGAACTTGGAGATTACTGATGGTTGGAATATTTTCCTCTTCTCATTTATATTAAAAAAAAATAGATCTCCTAGGCTGAGGGTGTAGCTCAGTGGTAGAGCTCTTGTCCAGCATTTGCAAAGCCTGGAGGTCCAGGTCCATAATAACAATAAATAGGTCTCATTTTTACATAATACCAGTACCTTTCAAGTTTCATCAGAGGAAATACAGTCTTCATCAGGGCTCATAACAGCCTGCCTTATTTCCATGCCTCCCCTAGAACAGAGCTCCTTTGCTAAGGTCTATCTGAGCCAAGCCGACCTTTAAATCCTTAGTCCCAGTTTTAAGTTCCTTGGAAAACTATCATTTGCCCCCGCGTTGCTACAGTTACATAATTCTGGTTTACCGTGAGTCTGACTGGTGAGTGCTTGGTGGTAGAGCGCTGACTGATGTCAGATAAAATGGCTTCCCTGAGGGAGTGTGAAAGTCAGTGGCTCCTTCTGTCTTCAAAGTACATTTAGGAATCAACAACTAAGAGAAGCCATTGTCTGCCTGTGTGACAACTTGTATTTTCTGTACTTAGAGCCATAGACTTTCCTCCTTTCTTGCTTACCTCTACTGTTTGCAGAAACATTATGCCCTGTCAGAAAATTGTTTTTTCTCCCACACTGGCAAAATTACCAAGGATTTGCCCAGTTTTAGCTAGAAACATAAAAAGGGAAATAAATTTTTGTCAGTTGACAAAAGTATTTCTTTTAAATAGAAAGTAGAGCTAACTTTGGAACAGCTTTCTTGATGTTTCAGCTCTGCCTTCATAATAGATTATATATACCTTTTTGACATGTGATCAGCAAGGGCCTTCTCCCACACAGCCTCCTCTAATTCATAGTTAGCACCAGAGAAGAGAGCCAAGCTTTGCAGTGACCTGTTATCAACTGAAATTGAAGAACTCTCTTATTCTAGAAAATATTGGAGTACTAAACCATTCTTGGAGGAGAGCCTCCCCAAGCTTTCTCTTGTTAAACAGTATCAAACTTTAAGGAAAGGAAAAGAAATCTCTATCTGGTGAAAATTTTGTGCTCCAAATAATGAAATAAAGTATAACCAAGGTGGCTAAGAGTCGGGTGTTTTCTCTCTTTGCTTGTGAGCAAGGTTTATTTATGAATGCAAGAACTACCATGGGATTGCAGACCTATTTGCTATAACTGGAAAACAAGAGTCTGAATTTTAGTCTGCTGAAACACACATTTCCAACCCTCGTTAAAATTTAGAAAGGGGAGACTTTTCTTTAGTAGCAGAAGGAAAAACAGTTATTTATTCCTGAATGTCCACTCTGCAGAGCTGCTCCCACCAGGGAAACAGTCCCTCCCCTTTCGGCAGCTCCACCCTGCACAGATGCTATCTTGTTTGCAAGCTGTCTCCCACAAAGGAGCCTGAGGAGTCCATGGTCCTTTAGGGGAGATGCCCCAATTACTGTGTTGCATCTACTCTTAGGAAGGTGGTTTTTTGCTAACTTGAAGGATTATATGCTGTATTTCAAATAAGTGTGTGACTTAATACTTTGAGACTTTTTTTTCCTCTAAAAACTGGACCTGAACACAAGCTTTGAGTTGGTATTTGTAATAATCTCAGGACCTGAAAGATTGTAGCATTTAGTGTGTCTTAAAAATTATGTACTGTACCAGCCATGGAGTTTTGTAAATATACCTGTCTCCCTTTTTTTGTATTATTTTAGTAAATAAATAAATAAATTTAATAAAAGGGGATGGTGATGACATGTATGTGTGTCTGTATGTGTGAGTGTGCGTGCATAAGGCTCTTTTAAGATAAATTGGTGCTTGTTGAATTTCTAGTTAAGCTCAGCAGGAATATGGACAAACTGCTGCTGCTGACCCTGCACTGAGCAAGGAGGATGTCCTTCATCCTGCCTTTCCAGTGGTCTGTCTGCGCAGTACTAGTAAATGGGAAGTAATTAGAATCTAAGCTCTTCTCCACAGCCGTCTTGGTGTTGCGATCTTGATCTAGTTCCGGCACCCTTTAAACTTGGGTACGAAAGTTTCCACCCTTCCCTGATTCCTGGTTTTAGAACTCAACTTTTCTAAGAAAAAAAAAAGGGCAGGTTTAAAAAAAAAACAACAGCAACAAAAGAATCACACATTTCATAAGACCCCTGATGAATTTGGGACATGCGAGAACATTCCTAAATGTGAACTTGCCGGCTTGGCCCATGATACACTCCTTCAGTGCAGGGACTCTTGTATATCTTACTTTGCAGCAGCCCTGTTCATATTCCAAGTGTAACTAGCAAACCCATTTTGAAATAAGAGCCTTATTTGATTCAGAATAGATGTTTCCTGTCTATCCTTTGTGACAGGACCTTTTACATGAGTGGGGTTTTTTCCTTTTGTATATGTTATATGTTTATTGTATTAAATAAAGAGGACTGTAAATATTACTCCCGTGTCTCTAGTTTTACTACGCTAATTTGGGTTTAAATGCTCCACCGTCAGCAGGGGTTGAGACTCTCTATTATACTGTACCTGGGCACCATGGGCAATGGAAGGGCACAGCTTGCTCATTGTGTTCCTAAACAGTTTGCAATCACTTGACAGTATACAGTTGTCAAGAATTATTCAAACTTTGTGTACAAATATGTGCTCCCTTGCCAATGGACATTTGAGTTCTGTTTTAGAGCAATGGGAAGACTCCGAGGAGTAGAGAAAGCTTTAGGTGGACCTCCAAGGACAGGTCAGGAATTGGTAGTCAGGAAGAAGGGGCAAATAGATGTGCTGGGAGATGTCCATTTGGGTAGCTGAGGAGGGCAGATGGGAGAGTCCTTCCTGTAGGCAACAGTATGGTGTGTGTTGAATGATATGTAACAACGCATAGGAAAAATAGACAGGGACATAGACCCCCCCCCCCAATAAGAATAGTGGTTTGAATGCTTGTTTTCATTTTTGGTTTCTTGAAGATGAAAAGGACTTCTAAGAATTTCAAATAGCACCAGCGACTTTTAAGTACCAATTAGCTGTGTCTGTTCTTGCCTGTTAATCCTGTTAGCCTCGGAAGCACTTCTTAAAGCCTCCCCGGACCTCCAAAATACCTGAGTTAGTAATTAGGCATGCCAGGTGGTTGTGGCTGGCAACACTCGGGAGGCAGGTAGGTGGATCTCTTGAGTGTAAGTGCAGCCTGGTCTGCAAAGCAAGTTCTAGAACAGCCAGGATTGTTACACAGAAAACCCTGTCTCGGGGGGAAAAATTGACATAATTACTCAATGACGTCATCTTTTGTCAGTGTATAACTTTGATGTATTAAAGGCACCATTGCATATTATTCTAGGAGTTTATTTTTGCTTGCGTATGTGTGTCCACTTGTGGGTATATGAGTGTGCATGTAAGTGCCCATGAAGGCCAAAAGAGTGTTGTATCCTCTGTAGCTGAAGTTATAGGCAATTGTGGGCCATGTGATGTAGATGCTGCGAGTTGAATTTGGGTCCTCTGGAAGAGGAATGAATGTGCTCTTAGGCACTGAGCCATCTCTCTGGGCCCCTACAGATGCCATTGTCATCAGTCAAGGTATTTAAAAGATCTGTTAGTGGGTCAGCGAGGTGGCTCAGTGAGTAAAGATGCCTGCTGCCAAGCCTAATAGCTCGAGTGTGATCCTTCGCCCACATGATGGAAGGTGAGAACCAACCTCCTGAAAGTTATCCTCTGACCTTTACATATTCATGCATTCCCACACACTCAACTCTCTAAATAAAATGTGCTTTAAAAAAATCCATTGTTGGGCTGGAGAGATGGCTCAGTGGTTAAGAGCACAGACTGCTCTTCCAGAGGTCCTGAGTTCAATTCTCAGCAACCACATGGTGGCTCACAACCATCTGTAATGAGATCTGGTGCCCTCTTCTGTTGCGCAGGCATACATGGAGGCAGAATGTTGTAAAAATAAATGAATAAATAAATAAATCTTTAAAAAAAATCCATTGTTGGTTTGACATACTGTCTTCCACAAAGCAATAAATAAGTAATAGCTTTGCTATTATTTGTATGCACTCCTTTTTTTTTTGGCATGGTTTCTCTTTGTGGCCTACACTAGCCTTGAACTTGCCATCGGCCTACCTCAAACTTCTTAATGCTAGGTTACAGCTGTGTACTATTGTTTCTGGCATAACCTTGTTTCATCATTTATTCTGTATATAAAAATGAAACTCAGAAAACTTTTTGAAGAAAGTCATCCAAAGAACTAAAGGGTTTCGAAATAAGCTAATAGTTTAGAGAGCAAGAAATAAGTGGGTTAGACCAATTCTGTCATGTGGACCTGAATGGAGACCAGGTGGAGACATAGAAGGAAGTATTACTAGACTGGAAAAATAAGTGTGTTAGGGTAAGCTTCTAACACCAACAGAGAATTAAAGATGCTGAGTTTGGGACCATCCTGGTCTACATCTATAGTTTCAGGCCAGCCTGAACTATATAGTGTGACCCTGACTCAAAAGGAAGAAAAACTATGCGGGTTTTATCTTACAACATGGAAGCAACAAAATGGAAAGCGACTTAGGAAAGGGTCAAGATGGAGTTTCAAGTCAGATTTAACAAATTGTCGACGAAGGTACTTTGCTTTACATATTCCAGGGGTAAGTGTGTAGAGATTTGTGTCTATGTTTCTAGCGTTACAACAACAGTGTAAGAATACAGTCTAACATGGTAAGACTGGCTGTATAAATCAGATTAACACTTCATAGCATGGTTTTTTGGTTTGGTTTGGTTTGGTTTTGATATCAAAAAGGGTAAGAGTAGTAGGGGAAACCCTGTGTTTTCCCAAGTACAATGAAAGTTGCCTCTTGTCTAGGTGTGTGTGTGTGTGTGTATTATGTAATATATATATATGTATGTTTTGTCATCTCAAAAACTTGTGTGTCATTCACATGTGCCTTGACGTAGCTTGTCCTTTTCTGTGTGTTTACCGCTCTTGTGTCCTAGCATGTGTGCCTTCACTGCCTCCCCACTAAAGTTTTTACTGGCAGGGTGGCATATGTGAAGGAGAACAAGTTGTCGCTAGACAGACGGGTTCACATGGCTCCACTAGGAAACTCTGGCTGAAGATGTGTTCTCCCTGCCCCGCCGTGAGAATAGTGGGTTAGACGTGGAGAGCACCTAGCCGAGTGCCTAGTACATACTAATGGCAGCTACTGCAGTCATTCTGTCTGCTTCTCAGCGCATGCTTCCTCTTTCCCGTCCCTCCGAAACAAGTGTAATAACCTTACAAAAATCTTGATCACTGCTTAGCACCCAGGTATGGAAGAAACCCAGCTAAAATGCTTTTATGGCAGGTGTCAGAAACTCCTAACTTAGAAAGAGAGGGGAATCTTGTGTAGCTGAGCAGACTTTCAGAAGCCACCTGGTGCAGGTGAAGCTTTATCTAGTGGTCACTAAAGTCCACCTCTTCACAGGTAGCCTGCTTTCTGCTGGCCTCTGACCTTTCTTCATAGCCCGCTGGCTACTGCAGTTCCAAACTATATGTAAGCATTTATGGCTTATAATGTGTCGGTCCAAAAGCATTCTCTTCCCTGATTATGCACTCTGTCCTGCCGTCCTTTCATCCCTCACCCCGTACTGCCCCATCGTATAAGCATGTTCCCTTATGCATGCATCTTGGTAAGTAGCATTGCTTTGCGCGCACACAGACTTAATGTATACAATTGATACTATGCTATAAATGTCTCCTTTTATGTTGGGTTAGTCTGCATTGTTCTGTGTACTCCTGTGCTTCTGAGGTCTGTTGCATCGTTTTTCCTGAGTGTGTATCCTAAACTACTCATTCCCTAGAGGCGGATACCCTAGTTCGCCCTTAATTCAACTTATTACCTCAGCAAAACAAAACAACAGCAAAAGCTGTAGGTTGTCTCTCTTTCTGGGAATTGCTCATCTTTGCCTGCTGGTCAGTTGTACGTTCTGTCTTCATTGTAGACACTATTCTCTTGTCAGTCTTAGATGTCATATTTTATTTGTTCCCTGTCTTTTAGCTTCGTGTATGGCGTCCTTTACTGAACAGAAATCCTTGGTTTTTAATAGTCGAATTTAGCAAGTATTGCAGCTCACACTCAGGAGGCCAAAGCAGGAGAATTATGAGTTTGAGACCAGCCTAAGCTACATAATTAAACCTGGTCACAAAGGATGGGGCTGGGGTTGAGTGAGAATATTTAGGTGTTTTCAGGGGTTGCTTTTAACATGCTTCCTATTCTAGACCACAAATTTTCTCCTTGAAGATAACGCTTACCTTTATTTTCTCTTCTGCCACTCATCTATCTGTTTTGTTTACTAACACATTTCCTGCAGACCACCTAGTAATCCTCCCCCATCAGTGTGTAGTGCCAGTTTTGTCCTCTGTCCAGTTCTCATGTACAGAAGGGCTTGGTACGTCTGCACCAGCGCCATACTGCTTGCCATTCCTGGGGACTTAAAGCATGCTTTCCGTTGAGTCCCCAGTTGTCCACAGCCCACCTGGGTTGAGTAAGCCAATTGTGATTTTTTTTTTCTTGTCTGTTTTGTTTTTTGAGACGAGGTTTCTCTGTGTCACAGCCCTAGCTGGAACTAGCTCTTGTAGACCAGACTGGCTTTGAACTCACAGAGATCCGCCTGCCTCTGCCTCCTGAGTGCTGGGATTAAAGGTGTGCACCACCACTGCCCAGCTGGATTTTTATTGTCATATAAATTTCACATTGTGTGGGGCTGGAGAAGTCGCTTGGTAGTTAGGAACACCTCTTCATGCAGCTGGACCCACATGGCAGCTAACAACCATACATAAGTCTGGCTCCAGGGTATCCAATGCTTCTTACCTTGGTGGGCACTAGGCATGCACATGGTACACAGACATACATGGAAGCAAAACCTTACTTGCATGAAAGTGTAGAAATCTTATATTTTTAAAAAATTTCACATTGTGCTTGGTATGGGTAGCACATTCCTTTAATCCCAGCACTCTAGTGACAGAGGCAGGTGGATCTCTGTGAGTTCAAAGTCAGCCTGATCTAAATATCAAGTTTCAAGATAGAGGTATACAGTATGAGACCCTCTCCAAAATAAAAGGAAAAAAAATCACATTGCATTAAAAAAATTAAACTGAATGGGGTAGAGAGTTGACTTAGGAGTTAAGAGCACTGGCTTCTCCTCCAGACGACCTGGGTGAGATTTTCAACACGCACTTGACAGTTCGTTACCATCTGTAACTCCAGTCCTGGGGGATCCAGTGTCCTCTGGCCTCCTTGGGGAACAGGCACATATATGGTGCACAAATAAACATGCAGGCACATTTTTTTAAATTAAACTCTCCTTAGTTACTTTTCTGTTGCTATGAAGAGACACTATGACCAAGGCAACTTTTTTTTTTGTTTGTTTGTTTTTTTTGTTTTGTTTTTCGAGACAGGGTTTCTCTGTGGCTTTGGAGCCTGTCCTGGAA